CCCTACCCACCCCACACACCCCTACCTGCCAGGTGCCCGCACCACTCCCTACCAATGAAACGCCCCTGTTCGAGGCCCCTCTAAGTGCCGGGCAGGTGCTCAGACAACTTGCCTGTGGCTCCCGCGAAGACATCGCCCTGGGCCGGGCTCTCCGAGATCACGGCGGTGGCCTCCACGGTGGATGTCCGGTCAAAGGTCAGGGCGCCGGAGGTAGTGATCTGTCCTGAGGGGGTCACGGTGACTGGAAAGGCAGGAGTGCTTTTCACGGCACGGCCAGGCCCAGGCAGCTCGCCCCCCAGCACAGACCTCAGAAAGACCTCAGGAGCCTAGGGCCAAAGCGTGGACACAGCACACACCCCCCGCACACGCGCCATCCCCTCTGCGAGGACTCATCACACACCGGTGACCCTGGGGGCCTGTGGGAGAAGACCCAGGGCCGAGACAGACTTCCCTACACACCGTTCACACTGTGTGAACTTCGAACGTGTGAATGTACTGCGTCGGTGGGAGACAAAAAATGAAACTTAAAATAATTCAAAAACTACTTTGTAGTTTGAATTAAGAAAAGCATTTTCATCAAAGTTGAAGAAAAAGACATCCACTTCCCCACGCATTTCTGCTGCTCTAGCTCCTCCGGGCTGCCCAGCTCCCAAGGACACTCCTGCCGTTCGGGACGCTGCCCTGTCCGGGGTCGCCCTGCATTTACCACCCACGGGACTCGGGCCGAGAGAGCCAGCAGGGGCTTAGAGACACTTCTCCATAAATGCAAACAACTCAGATCCACAGTCTGACAAGCGCGTGAGTTGCTGATAGACTTTCTCCATTAGGGTCTCTCCCCATCTCTAAATCTTTCCCGCCCACCGTGCGGTTAAAAAAGCCCGATTTTCCCTCCATTCTCCTGACCCCCTTGCCCAGACAACGGCAGCAGATTTACCTATGACGGGGGAGCATTTCTAAGACTGCTAAAACCAAAACTTTTCAAAGAAATCTTCATTCGGATGGGATTAACGCTGTCGCCGCTCGGGGGCCTGGGCTGGCTGGACTAACCAAGGACTAGGTCTCCTGGTCCCCACGCTCTCAGCGGCCTGCACCCGTTTCCCCAGGAAAGCCCCGTCGAGGGCAGGCTGAGGAACCCAGGGAGATGGGGAGGCCTTTCCTGAGTGTGGGCTGCACGCTCGGCACGAGGGAGACCCCCCGCCCGCCTGGGGCCAACCCCCAGGGGCACAGGCAGGGCAGGGAGGGAGGAGAGGGGGTGCTGACTCTCCTGCTGCGCCACGGCGTCTGCTTTCACCCGAGGATCCCACGGCCGAACGCCATACGTGGAGACACACGGAGTAACGAGGGAGAGTGTCTCCCGCGAACTCACAGGTGGTGGCGGCGGTGGCGGGGAGCAGCGTGATGTTCTTCGGCGAATCCTTCTTAACCGGAGTTGTGGGCAGCTCGTTCTCCTTCTTGCGCCTTTTGTAGGGGACAAAGAGCCTGACGGGACCGCTCTGGGGGAGAAAGTGAGACGTATGGAAATGCTCGAGCGTGGACAAGGCCGTCTGTACTCTCGACTCCTGACCAGCGGACAGCCTCACCTTCTGGCTGCACAAGCAACACGGCGAGCTGCGCTCAACCATCTTACCTCTCTCTAAGGCCCCGATTCCTTAAAATGACAGAAATAGTACTTTCGCAAAGAATATATGACGAACAGTGCTTCAAACCAAGAAAGGGTATCGTTAACATAAGGAATTTTTAGGAATTCCTAGAAGACAGAAAACAAATGGGGACCAAGTGAAGGAGGAAGGAGAGGAGACCACAGCCCAAAACAAGAGAACATTCCAGCAGACGCTCCATCCAGACACACAGGAAAGGAAGACGGAGTGCACTAATGAACTAAAGAGGGAAACCTCAATGGACCAGGGACGACGGAAAACCGAAAGTAACACAAGATGTCCCCTCGAAGGCCCCAGGGCAGCGGTTCACCAGGCCCTCAAGGATGGGACAACCTGCCGCCTGTCGCCCAGCTCGGGAAGGACCGCGCCCCATTCCTGTCGTCCAGCTCAGGGAAGGACCAGGCCCCAACTCGGTGCTGAGCCCCAGGGAGCCCGAGGCCATGCAGGCTCGCTGGCCCTCTCCGCTGCCAGTTAAATCTGCTGTGGAGCCCTCTTGTGAATTTTTCCTGCAGTTACTTTACTTTCAATTCTAGAATTTCCACTGGGTTCTTTTTTATAATTTCTGTCTCTTTATTGATATTCTCCACCTGATGAGACTTTGTCACCATAACCTCTGCCCTGGACTGAACTGTGTTCCCCCAGTGTCCACATGTGGGGCCTGACCCCAGCGTGGCTGTGCTCGGAATGAGGCGGTACCAAAGGTTAACTGAGTCCATGAGGGAGGGGCCCTGAGCGAAGGGACTAGTGTCCTTGTGGGAGGGGACACCAGAGCCTCTCTCCCTCTGCCACGTGAGCAGAGAAGGCAGCTGCCTGCAGGCCAGAAGGGGCCCCGCCAGGACCCCAGTCAGCCCCTGGACCATGGACCCCAGCCTCCAGAATGCTGGGAAGATGCTGACGGAGCCGAGCAGACCGACATCTTCCGGGAACTCCCTCCAGCTTTCGGAAGAGAAAGACTGCCCGGGAGCCTTTGTCTGTCCAAGCCCACACCTGGGCCTCTCACGGGCCATGTCTGCTGCCTGCCGCCTGTCTTCTGTATGGTTCACACCTTCCTGCTTCTTTGCATGTCTCGTACTTTATGTTGAAAACTGGACGTTTTGGGAATCTGCTGTAGCAGCTGTGGAGGCTGACCCCTCTTCTCCAAGGCTCCCTGCCGCTGCCTGTCTGCTGGTGACCTGGCTGCACCCCCCGAGAGGTCTCTCCCCCACAGCGTGCAGCCCTGGGCACACACTCGGTCACCTCTGGCTGCGGGGCTTCTAGCTCCATCAAGGTGTCGGCGTCGGCTGGTGTCACACCCAGCTGACCGCTCCCGTTTCAACAGTGTGCGGCATAAACGGCTCCACCACCGGATCCAGTCGCAGTAGGGCTCCTTGATGGGGTGGCTCCAAGGGAGACCACTGGGGTCTGTCCACCCACGAGGCCTCTTCAGAGCTGTCGCTCTCCCTGCATCTCTGGCTTAGCTTGTTGCTCTCGTGGCTGCTGGCCTCCTCTCACACTCACCTCCACCGTGCACCGCCGCCTCCTCTCACACTCACCTCCACCGTGCACCG